CAGCTTCTCATCTTTCTCTATTATCACAGCTGTAGCCTCAGCGCATTTCTACGGGATGGGAAAAATTCCATGATTCGACTGATGAGTGATGACGAGAGACGGTGCGCATGTAGCTTCCAGTCAGGGTGCATATCATGGCGAGGTGGGTGTGTGAGACGAGGGTTTCGCGGATGACTACATAATGATTCGCGGTTATTTAAAGGTTATTTACGTTTACATTTACTCGGCCTTTTTATTTTGTTTTCTCCAAAGTATAAAAGGCAGCAGCTTGACTTTTCCGACCCCGGGGGGCCGGCTACTGTCGTGCGAGAAGTAGAAATAAGCCGCATGCAGTCACATATAGGCTCTTTCGAATTTGGTTTAATTATGCAGTGCTGCTTTGACGTATACACTTACTCTCATTTATTCTAATTACATGCAATAAATGTTCAGTAATGCATAATTTGCGAGATAGCGCTTAAACCCTTCGTGTGTTTGTAAAATGTTTATAACTAATCATGAAGTGACTTTCGCTTTCGCATGTTGCATTTCAAACGTTCATAATTTATAAAACAACCTCTGCCTTTGTGTGTAAAATGTAAACTAGCGGTGGAAATAGAGAGTCTTCCATTCTATTTATGCTATTCGCACGTAACCCTGCAGTTGCACTCCCTCCACCCCCTCCCAAGGTTACGGCCCTGCGAGAAACTGAAATACTCGCCGCATCAAATCAGATCGCCTCTGCCGAAGCCAGTTAACGATCGAGTTGCTACACTATAGGCGTTTCACGATATCTGCTCATAACCATGTAAAGTCGGCATCATTCGCTTCGTCGTACACGCTCAATCACACTACCGGATCATAGCCACGCTGAGACCAGTTCCACATGCACTGCGGAGATATAAATCATGTAAACCGGGTCATGCCAGCGTTATACACATCCGTCGGAAAACCACGGATCCTTCACGGAGATCCTTCATCAGAACGCATCAGCTGGGCGGGCTGCGAATCATTACGAACTATATAGGTTCTTCTATAATTTATTTCGCTCGCTTGGCTTGTCCTCCGCGGTTGCGTGAGATTGCGGTGACACGTATATCGACGAGGGTGTTGGGTGTACGAGAGCCTACGTATAGAGAGATACACGCGTGGATTCGATACGCTTACGCGCGTATAGTTATTACTAGTTGTCGCGAGTAGAAGCGCTTAGTTGCTTCAAGCCTTCTCATTAGCTAGACAAATACTATAAATGTAATCTCACCCCCTTCTCTCTCGCGCGCTCTCTCTCTCTCTCTCTTTCTCTCTCGCTTTCTCTCTC